GTATAGTTTTTTTTTTAATTTTACAACTTTTAATACAACTAACAGGAAAAAAATTATTTAGATTTTATTTAAAGCCAGCCACAAATTACAATGATTGGTTTTCACTTTGTTCTAATTACTACATTTAATTTAGTTTACATTGCAACAACTCATTTAGTTATTTTTGTCAAATGTAGGTAAAAACTATAGGTATACAATATACACATATAGCTTGTATGTTTCTCTATTCTATTTTATGAATTGTATAACAAAGATTTTATTTTTTACCCAACTGCGCGACGTAAAGAAGGGTAATGTGTTTATGTATATAATACTATATTCCTTCGTCAACTTATTTCCAGCTTTTTAGTTAGCATTTATGCAGTCGGGTTTTTTATTTTTATATAATCTTTGTTTGCAGAATAAAATTTCTTTATTCTCACAACTGGCAGGTGAATCTGTAAATTATACAGCTCATTTTATTTCTGTTAAATAAACGACTTCTATTTAGTTTAAACTGTTAGAGTCCTCCGAAAATTGGACTGTCACAACTCACAACATCTTATTTATCATGATAACGTTAAAACTCATTCACATTATCATGATAAAAAGGTAGTGCACTAAACGCTGTTTTAAAATTTTCTTTAAAACTTTGATAATATTAAAAAAGTAATAAAATCTATATTTTATTTTGGCGTTGACGGCAACGAGTCAATAATCTGATTGCGGCGGCGCTGCTGGTGGCGATAAGGAGCTCCGGCTCGGCTGTTTCTAAATATTGCGCTCGAATATTATTTACGCTGCACTGGGAACGATGGAAGTTTCAATTAATTACTGGCTCTATTTAAAATTGCAGATTACGAAGTTACTTGTCTATTGTACCTATTTTTTAGCACTTCCATCTAATTAAAGTGATATTAATATTTTTTTATTATATCAACCAATCCATAATATGTGCATAATCTGTATAGGTATATATATGTATGACCACTATACGAGTCTAATATTTATTTAATATTGTAATAATATTGTATTTATATAAGTATATGTAAGCGGGCTTTTTCCAAACTGTATAGTTTGTACGTTTATTTAAAAGAAATTTTCATTGGAACATTTAGAGGCGTTCATTGCAATCGCTGCCGTTTTTCTTTATTGAGAAAAGGCGTCTGCGTGTACTGACCTGCAGCGAGGTGCCTACATCGTGGATCTCTGCACATATTGTCCCGATTTCCACTTTTATTTTATTTTCGAGCCTCGAGTACGTTTAAAAGACAAAGGGCCTAAACTAGTTAACACACATGGACGGTTTTAATAGCTACTCTTTTGTTGATCGCTAACTGGGGCACCGGGCGTTAGTATATAGGACACTACGTGGATACTTTTACATTTGATGAACACTGAGCGGCATTCATTTTCAGTTTTCATCACAGATAAAAAATAATAATATTAAATTTATTTCAGATATATTTATTTGATTTTGCTTAATAATGACATGTCTAAATATTCAGCAGTCGAAGTTATAATAAATGTTTTTTTTTTTAATTTTATTCGTACTATTTGATAAAAAAGTACAGGGTTTTATACTATGGTTTGTATTTTGTATACTTGTGGTTACATAACTAGTCTGAGCTATTATTAATTGAGAAAATACATCCATGAAGGTATCTATTAGAAAATATTTGTGGTGTTAGGAGTTGAGTACCATATTAAATACTTAAAGGTACCATTAATCTATTTACGTCGGCATATTAAACATTTTCACATATTATAAATTTCCAATACATTATCAATATCTCTCTGTTTAATTATTAACACTATTTCTTATATTTGTGTAGCTGTTATATTATAATACAACTACTTGGTAAATATTAATATTTTACATGTCACGTCACTTTAAAGTGCATCACTATAACGGCAGAACTTACAATGTCATAACGGTGCATTAAGCTCAGACCACTGCACAATATGCCAATAAGCTTTCGTGGAATAATAGTGTTGTATTTATTGAACTATTATTTCTGTTCGGATGCTTCGTTGTAACTATAATAAAGTTGTTCTGTAGGAAGTAGGTCGCTCACCGGGAACACTTTGTTTGCAACTGTTATATTGTATTTATTATCTGCATTCCTTTTTTCCTTCATACGTATCGATTTAACACATTCCTTCATATTACCTACGTACGTTACCAGTATAACAAAAAACTTATTTAGTTCATTTTTTATCCATCTACCTATTTCTTACAATCTGAGGGGAATCAAATATAAGGTTCGTGAGCATTTTGCACGATTTCATTGATATTTTTTAATTTAACGCAAAATATTCTAAGTATAAATATATTATAAGTATTAAACTTTTTCATTGTTATGCTAACAACACAATTAATAACTATGTAGCCCATTGATGTGTACAACATACAAAAAAAACATAATATTTTATTTTAAATTACATACTTTTAGAATAATCTTGTTATAAAACGACACTCGAGAAACATAAATGAAACAACATTTCTAAAAGATTTATGACACCGAAAATTTGAATCGCTGAAAACTTACGCCTGCAACGTTTTATAGGCTGTAAAATGTTTAAATATAGCCACAGGTGTGAAGGCCGCAAGTCGATCATAAACGTTCAATTTTGCGGCACGGTGCAGAACTTAACTGTTTGTCGATTTAAATTTAAATTAACTACTTCAATAACTAAAAATGTACACGGTTTGATTCCTTTAATTATAATAACTGTTTTTAAAAATATTATTTTTGATAAATAAGTGTTAAAATTTAACACTTCTTTATCAAAAATAATATTATTAAAAAACATATATTTCGATTTTTATACTTAAATATAATAATCTAAATAAGTACATGTAAACTGATTTAATAAATTTTAGTATGTGTCAGCTTACTCTTGCTCTTCATAAGTGTGGATGCCACAATGCTGTAAAGTATTGCTTATGTCAGCCACAAGAATTATAACCTGTGTGTCAATTTTACAACCACGGCGCGGCGTACCTTTATTTTATATAGCTCTCATATTTAATTTTGTAATTTGAAATCTTTAGAAACACTTAAGTAAAACAAATTTCTATTTAATTTAAATATCTTAGATATGTTTAGCAATACAATTTCTTTTATATTAAATTTAAAGCAATTGCAAAGATTTCCTACAAGTGGCTTTCAGTTAGTTCTTGTGTGTACACAAAAAGTTTTTATTTGTACCTACTGCTGAAAGATTACATTTAATATTTATAAAATGAATTTCAATATTACTTCGTCTGTATTACTATTTGACTAGTACATTTCTAATATTACCAATATTTAAAAGAGACCTTTTTATAATTTTCAAAAGTGATGGCACTTCTTTAAATTTCTTATAAAAAAAATCGTAAATGTACTGGCTGGCACCGATATCAAAATCTGATTGGATACCTATTGTAAATTATTCGTTCCGATTAGTTAGTTATTTTTTGCTTATTTAAACAGCCTTAAAGTCGATATCTTTTTTACAAAAGTTTTTATTTTATTACAATATTATCAAACAAACTAAGCCTGACAACAAACTAAGTTCGTTCACGTCAGTCCCTCACTAAGTAACTGAAAGTACTAAATACATATTATGTTACACTGCCTAAAATTCGATACACTATAATTAAGATGCATACATTGATGTGCAAGCCGGTCAATCTTGCATGTAGGTCATCGGGACATGGTCCTCTGCGGTCAGGGACCGTCCTCAATATCGGCAAATTGATTCCTTTTATTATAAAGCGCTCACCACGTGTGACTCGTGGACGAAAATGGCGACGGTCAATAAAATAAGAAAAGACAATAGAGTATTTGAATACCATTAAAAAACAATTATCGTCATTTAAGATATTTCTTATTATTTATTAAACAATCAAATGTTTTTTTTATATACATAATACTTATATACATAATCTGTATGTATATTATGTTATTTACTATGATTTATTGTGCTTAAAAGAATATCATTCAACCATATTGGCTTTACATATCTAATCATCTATGTACCTATAAAGAAAAAAAACTAATAAATGTTCGCATAGCAAATAAACAATAGATATGGTAAATACAACTGAGTCCGCATTATGCGAAGTAATATCCGGTATTCCATTTGCTATTGTGTCCTTAATGCTGATTAATCCTTGAAATTGATCCTAGTTATTGGTCATATCTACCTCTACTTTATACATCTAAGATCATTTTCCTTGACCTACTTAGATATTTCTAGTTTTCTGTAAATATATATTAACATTATAAAAACCTTAACAAAATAAATGATTATAATTATTTATGTTCCTTATGAAATCATGTGATGTAATTTTAATATATCTAACTACGAAATGGTGCATAGTAAAAATAATTATAATTTTATACTAACATTACCCTCGATACCTAGCTTCCGCATAGGTATACAGTACATAATGCATATAATAATTATTTTAAAGCCTTACGTTATAATTTAATCGAGATATGAAAATGGGTTTATCAGCTGTTAGCAAAATGTAAATCTATAACGGTTCAGTAGCTAAACTAAGACTTTATGTAGAGCGAAATTTTCATAGAATTTAGTTTTATAAAACATAATAGGTACTTTAATTTTATATAATGACTAGCAGAACCCGCGGCTTCGCTCGCGCTAAAACTACAAAAAAAACTCTTTGGCTTTATGTTATTAGTAATAATGTATGAAAGTCATTTCGGATTACTGCTCCGCTTCCATGGGTAGTAGCATGATGATATATAGCCTATAGCCTTCTTCAATAAACGGGCTATATAATGCGAAATCATTTTTCAAATCGGATTAGTAGTTCCTGAGATTAGCGCGTTCAAACAAACAAACAAACAAACAAACAAACAAACAAACAAAGTTTGCATCTTTATAATATTAGCAGAGATAATATTTTGACAGTACAAATATACTTAATATATACTCGTAGTAAGTAAATATGACAATTTTTAATGCTAAATAAGTATTTTAATCATTAAAATATTTTGTTGCAGATATTGGGAATGTACCAAACTATAAATTTGACCTTCCTTCCACCGGATCAGACGTCCAGGTATTTATTTATTGTTGAAATGAATAATATTTTAGGTTATACTTATTTCTTCTATTTTGTTTAATATTATGAATAATTTAAATATTTTTTAAGACTATTTGAATTGTTTTTTACATGAAATGAAAGAAAAATTTGTTTTTTTTTTATTATTTCCACTTTTTTAAATAAAAGAGAGTGCATTTTCCTAGTGATGTCTAAAATGAGATTAGAATATAAAATGAGGGGCGCTTTGTTTTCCAGTCCCTTTTACAGTTTCCTTCGTGGAGTCTCCCTACTGCGGAAATTCCAATACCAACGAATGAAACATTGATGCATTTCATTTTATATGTAAACGGAAAGTAAAAGCTTTTCGTGTATCCTAGTATGCCTACAAAATTTTGTCTTTTTTTGCCATTCTTATTTCTCACACATTTTGGTTTCTGAATTTGACAGAGAAAACCTATTAGTTAATTTTTTCTACGTATTTCCGTTTACCCTAGAATGTTAATACTGTATCTACCCTTAACACTGTGTGCTGGGGGTTCATAAAACTAGAGTAAACTATGTGTAATAGTCAAAATAAATATTAGCCGCATGTGATAATAAATATCGAGACATCCAGATTCCAGTGTAACAAATAGTAGGTACCTAAAAACGTTTCTTGGCTGAATAATGTGAAATAACAAAATCTTGCTTTTAATATATTCATCACGGGACAGGATACGAATACGTGAAACATAATAAATATTTTATGTAATTGTTAATGCTTTATTTAATTTTATCAGATAAAAACTTCTTTAGAGATTTTTTATCCTAAGTAGACTTTTTATTACAAACAATTTTTATCGTCATAGTAAAATAAATATAACTAATCCATTAATTATTTATAAACAAATTATAATATTTTTATACAGTTTTGTATATTTCTGAGTGAATATCTTCTTAATAAAAAAATACACTAATAGGTGTGTAAGTACGTACGATACAAGGACGTATAGGTATATTAATCTTTAATTTCCCATCCAAAAGAAAAGTATCTAACGGCTATATTAAGTACGATCTGTCTTTATAAATCGAGTTAAGAACTACATGAGTCCAAATTAAAGTAAGGAAATAGGAGCCCTATATCCTTATAAAGTCTGTAAGCGGATACATAAATCAACAGTTAATACAATTACATATATTATGAGACACATGTTAGCGCTAGGATAATAGCAAAATTGCGTGACCCGTCGAATAATCGCAAATGTTTCACACTATTATACATGAAGCTATAAGCGTGCAATTAAGTACTAAATCTATTTAATGGAGGTTTATATTAACATAATGACCGAGCGATTTAAATGTGTTATAATAAAAACATAATTTTTGTTTAGCACTTTTCATTTTTATCAAAATATAATTCACAAAGTAATCGACCTGCGAAGCAAGAGACGACAGCTTGGTTCCCGTATGACTATGAGTTATGCGACATACTCGTATATCACTCGACACATGGTTGGTTATTTACGACTTGTATCATTTTTGTCTTGATCCGTATTATATTAATGCAAAAGCTCGAGCCTGAGGATTTTTACACAAATGAAAATATTCAATATCTCATGAAATAAGAAAAATGTCTAGTAAATTATGTTATTTTATTTACAAAATCCACTTGCAAAATTCACTTACAAATCATAAACATGTGAGAAACTTTTGTAATATAATAAAATAAGTCACGCGATATAATATTTCTAACCATTTCATAATACGCGTTGATGAATAAAACAATGACTAGTTAGTGCAATTCAGTTTCCTGATTAATATAATTTATCTATGCTTAATTAAATAAAACCGTACGTAGTAAATATATTTTTATAACAGTTTTAATAAGTGGTTTTTAACAACTCTACACTGGCTCCAGTACCGGAAGTCACAGTTTCGATTCTCAAACACGGTGTTTACTTCATCTTTAAATCCCAAAAAAGTAAAGAGTGAGAAGTTAAGATTATCAACATTTTTGCTAGTATAGGAATGGATTAGAATTTCGTGGGACTGAACAGATTTTTGTGAAAGTCAATATAAATTCCTTAAGCCCTGAAGAAGAGAGTATTCTTCTACATATAGAAAAAATAATTATAAACCATGGCAAAAAAGATGTGTAAATACTAAATATGAAAAATGTATGAATATATTTTTTTAATGAGGGCCATCGTTTTTAGTGACACTAGTTGGCGCCACTGACGAGTAAGGTCCTATCGCTGTCTTTAAAAAGAATTTGTTATAAATATCTATATAAATAAAATGAATCACCGAAATGTATATACGCGCATAACTTCCGATCGACTGCACCAAATTGGATTTTTTTTTTTGTGTTAGTTATTCTCAGGACAAGCTTTGTATAAAAGAAAATTAAAAATTTTTTTTTACTAAAATAAGTTTTTTTTAAATCTCATGAAATGAAAAGTGATTGAGCGAAATAGTTTTTATCCCGGAAATCATCCCTTAAGGGGTGAGAATGGGGATGAAAGTTTGTATGGTCAAGTAAGCTGGGGACAAACCCGAGCGAAGCGAAGGTGAGTGAGTAGCTATTTAAATACATATAATATTAATTGTTAGCGCGGCGCCAGTTTATTATTTTGTTTTACATAATTAATATATAATAACCAAATAGATAAAATATTGACTTTTTCTAGACTCTTCTTTTAAACTAATAACATTTGTTGAGCCGTACCGTGTCCGCCATAATTAATCAGGAAGTGCACAATGTTTACATTAATCATGAATAATAAAATTAGTGAAGATCCATGATGAAAAGCTCGCAAACGGTTAACATTGAGTGTTATTTGACAGTTCTAAAGACCTCACTCTACACTAGCGCCCCTCGCGGTGAATTCAAGCGCGGTAGTCCTCATCATGTACAGGCTTGAGCTGGGTGCATATGTACGATTTTCTGATTCGATTTCCAAATATGTATTACTTTCTTGAATGCAAAGGCAGATAGAGGTTGACAAATTAATGTCTATTAAAGATTATTTGTAACTGAAATAGAAGAACAAATTTCGATAAACACGAGGATTATGTATTTATATTTGATAGTTCCATCCGTGTGCGACGTCAGACACGAATTGTATGTTTTTTTCGAATGCAAGTAGTTTCCTTAGCGAATGTATGAAGTTATTTTATCCGGACAGAAAATATGCGTAGACGCTATGTAGAACAATTGTATCTTGTATCTTTTTTTTTGTTTTTGTTAAGTGTAATATGTAATTTCTTTTGTAACTGTTCAACTTCACGGCTCGATATGATTAACTCATCAGTGGAAACTTCATTGGTCTATGAACCGTTTATATAAGCTATTGTATAAAATATAAAACTTCTAAACACTGTTTGTTTCCCCTATAAAAATATAATAGAAATAAAATATTATATGCATAAAAGTGCATTCAAGTAGGTACCCTGATAAAAAGTCGGAAATGAAATCAGGTATAATCCGTACATATGTCGCCTTAATGTGTGTTTTAAAGTAGACACAAAAGCACATAATTAATAAAAGCTTGTAATAAGCACTCAGACCGAGCTGTTGCGAGTCAATTATAGTTCTAAATCAAATTTGCATGTTGTTAACTAAAAAACCAGTTTGGCTACTAAATTTTTTTGTTATATAATATTTGAAATTTGTTTTTAATTATATACTATTAATAAGTTCACTTTATTATAATTTAGGTTCAACATTTATAAAAATATCATATTTTACGTAAAGCTTTAAAATTTACATTAAAATGAACATTTCTGAAAAACAATGCGCGTTTCATTCAGGTTGAAAATTCAACTGAAACAAACAAAAACGAGGTTTCATTAATTACCCGCCGGTTCAAAGTGTACCTTTAGTTGAAGATGTCGTGTAAATAGATGCATCGTTTCGACACTGAAATATTCTCCCGTGGCAATCCGTCAAGCTCTCGGAATTGATTGCTGATTAAACTGCGAAATTACCGCTTTTATCTACAAGAGAAATGATTCAAAGTGAATAGAGGAGTCAAAACGTAGACATAACTTAATTTGCATTTCGGTCCATACTTAAAAATATAAATATGCAAGTCGTTTGTTTCGTTTGTTTGTCTTTTTTTCACGCCGGAACTAAACTCTAAATTGATGTGTTTTTTTTTGTATTTGTATAGTTGGAGGGCTGAAGACTGACATAGATTACTTTGAATCGCGGGAACACAAGTTATAATGTATATTAACTGGTTAAGTAATTATGAGGGCATATTATTATATAATGAATGCAAATGATATTTAGGGAAGCTAGTTATTAAAGTAATATATTTTATAAAATTATGAAACTTATGTAATTTGTACGTCACATTCGTGACTATTAAGAATAAATATAACTATAAATGCTTTTATTACGGTTCAACAAGTGGTTTCCACGGGGCTATAAAGGATACTTTAAGACTCATAAACAAAATTTTATTATTCCTAGCTACTATAATGAATCATAAGAATGTGGTCTTAACCGAGTTTGTTGAAGTCGCTTGTGTCTTAAATAAATCATTGAATACAAAGATATGTCTCAAGATCATTCTTAAATTTTACACAACACTTGTCTTACAATTAGTTCACCTACTATATTACACCAAATCGTACGCGCAACGCTACTTTGTTGCGCATCTCGCCTTATTTCAAATTTTAATTTTCTGTCTCAGCCCTGTTTTGTGACCGACTTTTTGCTACTATATACTCCTCATACTTTGTACTTTCTATTTTATTGACTGCCTCACTGGTCTAGTGGCTACTAAGTACGGCAGTAGATCATAAGGTCCTGAGATTGAATCCTGGTTTCGATCAAAATAGTAACTAGTAACATCTGTCACCGAATACCTACTCAGTAGTAGCCCGGAGATGGAAAGTTTACAGCCTTTTTCGCGAGGAGCAAGTTAAGCAAATTCTTTATCTTTTACCGGTTGTGTTGAATAGTCTTGTAGACAGTGACTTGTCTCAGTCTCCCTATAACCCTAACCCTATTTTTTATTGACCTATTTAATATCTTATTTATTGTAAGATAATGAAATATGAAGGTGAAATATTGAGCAACTACCGACTTACACTCATTTCGACCAGGTGTGTCCCTTGGTGTATTGTTGCAATAAATTTTATTGCTTAAATTCAAACCGTTCAGCCAGCGCATGCGGATAAAGCAACCCAACGGCCAGATATTTCCGTTCATTAAAAGTTATTATCGGTCCACCCAAGATTTTTCATAATCGGATTATTCAGAGATATGTACCTCCATAATTTTAGTGTAGAAGAAACTATTTCCTTCTAGTTAATTCAATTTGTTTGTATATTTTTTATTATACATACATATTTAATATACATATTTATATAATAAAATATGCACCTATATGACTTTCTAAACTTAGAACCTTAAACAAAATGTACCACATACTAAAAGAATAAGATAGGCAGAGCGCTTGTTCCATGCGTAAACGTGAAGCCAAACTACCGATCGCGGCTCTTAAATATTACGGTCACAGCGGGGAGGCCGTATTCTTTAAGCTAATAAATAGGCATACTCTGACAATCTTATTCTTTTAAGTCTAAGGGATGAAAAAAACCCTGTAAAAACGTATTATTCTTGTTGTACACGTAATTATTATTACTAGAGATTTATATCTTGTAAGTATAAAAAATATACGTCTAAAATGCAAAGCCTTGTAGGGTAAAATATTTTTTTCACACAAAAAAAAATGAAGTGAAATAAATAATAGTAAATAAAATTAGGTCAAATACGAGGTCGATTTAATTCCCTATATCGCCTGTCTCATATAAGATAAAGGCGATCGCAGTAGTATTTAGTGCAGGCAAGATGCGGAAAAAGACCGTGAACATCTCAACGTTAATGGATGGTTTGTTTTTGCAGGGCGTGGGCGTGAGATGGCACGCGCGGGTATGCTGCAGAGGGGAGGAAAAAATGGAGCTGAGTAAGTGTCTGATTCTCATATATGTTTCGTTTACTAGTGTCTCTTTTATTAGATGTTATTAACCTTTGGTATATGATTAAATATGTTTACCAAGTTCACCAGACAAATGACAGTTTGAGTTTAAAGTAATGTTGCTGTAAATTAAATAAGTACACATACACAATTCATTAATTATTCCAGATAATATTATTATATAAATTAATATATTGTTTAATTTTATTAAATAAAAATATGAAAATAAATAACGATACTTTGTTTAATGAATTTAGTTTATTGCTTTATAAGATATAGAGAAAAGGAGGGACTACAACGTTTTCATCATAAAGCACTTGAGAAACCAAGCTTAGGGGCGGGCAGAGCGTAGGACGCGTCGATGAGCGGCAGGTGCCTGCCTGATAGGGCTATTACTTATTTTAATATTTTTAATGCCTTTCAGACGCAGGTGTTTTTTTTTTCTTAAAAGATGTTCTACTTTTTTCTTCATAAAAAGCTATTAACGGACGGAATCTACATTTATAGACATACCTATGTGAACTATGCGAAAAGAATCTTAATACAAATTGAAAGTGTCCAAAATAAAACTCCATTACTTCATCAATAATGTTTCGAAGAATATTTGTGGTGAACATCTAAGGCAGCTATTCATCTGGCCGCCTCACTATAAAGTTCCCAGACAAGTCCCAAGAGTACTCTTCTACGTTGCTAGATTCGGTTACTCAGTATACATAAGGGATTTTAATCTTATTACTATGACATAAAATCGCCCGTTATCTTATAATATTATAGCTGTAATACAACAACAGCGCTATGAATAACAATATCGTTAAAACAATCAAGTAAATACATCAGATGCTTTATACACATAAAACAAAACTAGACCTTTACCTTTAACGTACACTCATATGTCACACCTTAAAGTGCTACAACCAGAATTTCTCTTAAAGTGGCGTTTAGAGTGGACTCTACAATACAATGTTCTATTAAATATTAAAAGCTATGTCAAAGTTGAGCCTCACTGGCTAAGCCAGTTATTTCTGGTTCGATGCAACTTTATCAATGTTGGGAGACTCATAACGCTAGTGCCCAGTGCCTCCCACGACCTCTCGCTTTTACGATTTCTCACCTCTCCTTTAACCCCCGCGTAGACAAACTTTAAATTGTCATCTGGAACTTTGCTTGCCACTTAAATGAGCTTTATTTGTTCAATCCAAGTTTAACTTTTATTTCTATTCTATATACTTTTTGATCGCAACGTTTCGTCTTGAAAATATTATGTTAATATGAAAAACTACGTTAAAGAAACAAGTGCGAATAAGATATAGTTAGAACCGTCAAGGGAGGGTGCCACATTTTAATAACAAATGAGGAGGCGAAAATATCGCTCTTGTCATGGCAATATTTTTAAGAAAACATATTATATAGAATTATTCTACTCCTTATTTCGATATCAAAAGACATTTTTTATTCATAGCCTAATATAGCAAAATATTAAGAGCATTAGTATGTCCAACATCATATCAAATATAATAATACAATAATACCTTGCACAGTGGTTAATATTTTATATATAAAAGTCCAAAAGAGTATTTTTAATATATTTATTAAATTATTATTTTTTATATATTAAATCGATATTTCAAAGCAGTAACATTTTATGAAAATTTCTTATCGAAGTTAAAAAACAGAAAGACAAGATACGGCAGGTATTTAGACTATGCAACAGCCGCTAGGGTATAATGTCGGGATATTCCTAAAAAGAACAAGGCACCGGCCACTAATATTGACTGTTTAGAAGTAGACCAGTGTCCCGTAAAAGTTTTTGTGGATATTACCCATGGGCCCCATAACCTTACCGATCAAAGCCATGCCTTAAAAAGGGACTCTCCAAAATTCTTCAAAAATCATTCTCTTAACGATATATGCGTTAAACTTTTCCTTAAGAATATATTATGTTATTAGGCTTATTATTATTTTATGTACATGTTGTAAAACTCAAAGTTCTCACATGAATAATTCTAGTTTTGACTGCTTACATTTTACAAGTTATCTTACGTTTGAAATTCAATGTAGAGGTAAAACGTTATGCTACAGAATAATTATTATATCTCTAGCAAATATGGTACATGTTACAGTTTAAATTATAAAACGGATGAATTCTTTATTACCTACAGGCCATAAGTTCATAGTTTATTAAATGCATTGATTGTTTTGTAAAAATTACTTGCTCTGATTGATCCAATGACCCCTGAAATTTTTTTTTTATTTCAACCATTAAAAAGGTGAAAAGAGATGTCATCCCCGTTTAAATGGAAAATAATATACTTTTAGATTATCGTTATTATTTGAGTATACTTAGATATAGACTTTTTTTGAGGTTACGTAAAGTCTGATTTTTAATTCGACGGAATTCTGACATTTCAGAAGTGTTGTCAGCTTTGAAACATTGGCACTAAAAACGGAAAGCATTTTAGCAAAATAAAAAATAAACCTTTCTTGAATTAAGGTTTCAATTAGAAAAACTAAGACTTAAAAAAATATTGATAACTCTAAAATAGTAATTATTTTTTTATTATCATATTATTGAAGTTAGAATTAAAAATCAGACTTTAGTAGATATTGCTTATTGAAATGTGACGTTCTAAAATTTAGTGTGACTTACTACTACTACTACTACATCCATTAGTAAATAAAAAGGTTCATACTAATATTATTATACAGTAAACTAGCAACCCTACTTACGTTTTAACGTTTTGTATAGATTTCTCAAAGATGAAATATTTTCCCGCTGTAAAAATTATCCTATATGCTTAGCCGGATAACCAGCTTTCACCATACCAAATTTCATCAAAATCTGTCCAGTAGTTTCCTCGTGATGCGGTAACAGACAGACAGACAAAAATTTTAAAAACTGTAGATTCGGCCTCTGTATCGATAATAATGATTATTTCATTAAGATTTTCCAAAAAATATTTAATGTGCAGATTCAGCTTCGTTAGAATTTTATTATAGGCATATATAGATGTTAATTGTAAATTCGTGAAGTAAATGTGAAGGTAACTGTATCTGCCTGTTTGTTAGATTATCACGATTAAACCACTGAAAAGATTTCGATGAGGCAAGGACTTTGGTCATATCGTCGTAGGGACTCCGCTCACAATGCAAGCGGAGTCGCCTGGCGGCGTATATTTGATAATAGTATAAGTATGTTTTTTAACGAAAACGTTTTATTGTTTTACTTAATTCATTAAAATATTTAATTACTTTAAATTGTTATTAATATACACTAACATATCTAATAGACGTCTATCTATCTCTTCCTAGAAAGGTGGAAATTTACAAATTAATTATATTTTTTTTCTACACATTAACAGTTATTGTCGGTAACATATACACTGGCCCCCATTAACTCCTGTCGCTAGCTCAGCTGCAGCTTGCGAGCTGAATTTGTAAGCTTCACATAATTTTACTGTGCACTGTAGCGAATAGCTCAAAGCGTTTACTTAGTGATTATGGAAGCCAGCAAATTAAATTTTACACTTGAAAAAATGATGATATGTATGTTCTTTGAAGTGTTACTTAACTTTATGTATATTAACAATTAATGTTATTAAATTCGTTAAGTAATACTAATATACGTCACATATACCGAGTTACAAATCCAGCTGTAAAAATATGTTAGCTAATGTTATGTATTAAATTATACTATGTATGAGCTTTACACTTTATTATTAATATATATTTAGGAAAAGTGAAATGGTCAACAAAGTAATTTATCACCATTCTCGTCTTCATTACCTAAACTAGCCACTCACCTCGCTCCGCTTGTGTTCGTCATTCGTCGTTATAGTATAGATTTTTCAGAAATGGGATATTTTCCCGCAGTAAAAAATATCCTATATGTTGACTCGGATAATCAGCTGTCATCATACCAAATTTCATCAAAATATGTCCAGTGATTTTCTCGTGATGCGTTCCCAGATAGATAGACAGACAGACAGACAGGCAAAAATTCTAAAAACTATAGATTCGGCCTCTGTATCGATAATAATGACTATTTCAATAAGATTTTCCAAAAAATAATTTATGTACAGATTCGATGCAGAATTTTATTATATGTATAAATTATGCTTGTTAATTAATAGAATAACAGTTATCTTCTACCTTATCATCTAACAAGTATAAGATAACAAACTGTTATGAATTTCACCGACATGGACTTTTACACTAGAGTATTATATTTATTTAGTTAATCATCCATACCACTATATTTTAGGTTATTTTTTGTCATTCTTCACATCACATTATTTACAGAAAGATCACTTGTCCCTTTGTCTTGATCTCGTCGTCTTTTGCTGTTTAATGTTGTTTGTACGCGTCTTGTAAATACAATCATTTTTACCATAATTTTACATCGTATTGTTTTCAGTATTATAATAAACTTGCGAAGCTTATATTTTTATGAAAACTTATTGTTTTATATTTAAATGCTTCATTCTAATAATATATTCGGTAATACTTTCAAAGAACCCGTTTTCATCGAATCAATAGTCTCAGAGGGATGAAGTGACTAATTTCAATTCCACGCAAAACCTTCTCATTTGAATATTCATATTTTATATTCTATCTAACTTGAATCGTAAGATAAAATTGTACATTGGAACGTAATATCTAGTAAGAGGGGATCACGATTTAGGCCTCTTTCAATTTTGTCGATTGCACACGGTGTAATTTCCGATGTCTGATAGCATTTTCGTTACACATATTTTTTTAAATCTTATTTTTGTAATAGGTATACTGAATTACATGAAACTTATAATGTGAAGAAGGTTTTTATGTGTTTTTATAGATTTCCGTAATCGTATCATCAGCGGTTCAAACCACCCTGTGTATATCCACTATCGACAAGAAACGATAACAGTATTTTATAATGTCTAGCTGTGTCTCTGTTTGTGGCATCGTAACTCCACATGCTATTCCGGAATTTTTAATATATAACTTATATTAATATTTGTTAAGCATCGTTCGAATATACATAATATATTGAAATAAAGAAATAATTATGGGGGTGGGAATTTTATAGACATTAAAATTAAGTACATAGATAGTTTTTATCTCACTTATTTAAATGGATTTCATTCTAATAGATTTGTTTGAGTGGTCGTGCTTTCATCTTTCATAGTAATCGAGACTTATTGCTACTATCAGAACATTTTGTAGACTACCGAGCTCTTTATCATACATTTGGTCTTTAATATTAAGTTACATTTTAAATATTGACGACACGTTTGGCTCAGTTTGTAGTGACCCTACTTGCTGTTGCCAGCGGTCGCGGGTTCGAGTCCCGCTGGGGGCATTCATTTG